TACAGAGTCCGGGCTCTTTTGGCCCCAAGCAGTGTGTCCCGGAGGTGCGGAAACGTTAGGGCTGGGAGTTGCCACTATCTGAAGAAACCCATTGTCAGGGCCTGATGATTTCCTGAGCAAAACCCCGTCCCCCGCTGACCACGAGATTAAGTCCAGCACAGGGGAGTTTCGCGGTCAGGCGCTGACCGGGGAATGGCTAGCGCCAGGGGGCTCTCGTCTCCGTCTGAAACCGAAAGGAAGGAAGGTGGTGGGAGGGAGGCGAGTGGCGAGCACACGCCAGTGAACCAGAGCGCCGATGTCCTCCCATTCCAGAGAAATTCAACCGGAGCCGCAGAAGCGGTGACGCGGTTGAGCCAGATCCCCTAAGCTTGGCCCGGAAAGCTGATTCCCACCCCCATACCGCAGAGGTTCCCGGAGGGGCGAGGGGTTCATTCCACCCCACCACCCCCGCCAGCCCCTGGACATTAGCTTTGTGGATGCCCCCCCCACCCAGCCGCCGGGCGCCGGGCACCTGGTGGGAAAAACGGAGGTGCGCTAGCCCGAGGCGAAGGCTGGGGGCAGCCGTTTAATCACAGCTCGCCCCGCCTCCATTAACTTCTGTTGATATTAAAGAGAAATCAATCAGTGAAAATGAAGCACTGGCCGTGAATATTTCTTTTTCCCTAGCGGAAAAGCAAAGAGCGAGATGGCGGGGGAGGGGAGGCGGAACTCGCCGGCGACTGCAGAGGCTTCTCGCAGGCGGAGAACCGCAGCGGCGACTTAACTTTCTGGCAATGGGCAGCGTTGAGGAAATGCCACAAGCTTCGCCCAGGAGGTGTCCTTAGTCGGGGTGGGTGGGGGGGAACAAGGCTGCAGGAGCTAGAGGCGGCCCACTTAGCCCAGGCTTGAGCTTCGGTTTTGCTTTCGCTGGGAATATTTTTGCCTAATAGAATGTTTATGGATCGCTCGGCTCTGTTTCTGCTGCGTAGCCCAAACAAATCGATGCGGCGTTAGAGACAGCGCGGGGTAGGGGGGAGGCTGGGGGGCCACCACGTCCCCACCACGTGGAATGCCCGCGCGCCGCGTGCTCTTCACCTGTTCGCGCGCACCCGCGGGCGCCCGGCGCGCAGCGCTACTAGAGGCCGCGCAAGTTGCTCTCATTCCCGCGGCTCAAGCTGCCTCCTTTGCGCCTCCAACCTCCGCTCCGAATCCCACCCAGTCTTCCCGCCACCCAGCTCGTCCAGCGCTCGGGCCCCCAGCCCCTCAAAGCCGGCTCTCTGGGGGCAGCAGGGGTAATGCAGCGCAAAGTGGAGTGCGCGAGGCAGGAGGGGGCGCTCCGGGCAGGGCCCTCCGAGCCCCCGAGCCGGGGCAGGAGGGAGACAGGCGGGCGGCGGCGCTGCGATCTGGCAAGGCGGCCGGCGTGGCAAGGACAGGGGGAGCCTGGTGCGCGACGCCCACTGGGCCTCCCAGCCGCCCGCCAGTGCAAGAGGCTGCCCGCCTTGGCCACGAGGTTATTTGCTCACTTGCTCCCCGGCACGGCCCGCTCCCGGCCGGCGCGCACCGGGTGAGTCAGAGGTCTAGCGGGGCCTCGCCCTTTGCCACCCGCTGCCGGATCCCCCGGTGCCAGTCCGCTGCTCCGACGAAAAGCCGGAACGGCCCACGGCTTGCGATCGCCTTTTCGGGTGAGCATACCCACCCCGGGCGGGTCCCAGCTCCCATCAGGAGGTCCCACCCTGGGTCCGAGGCTGCCTGAGGCCTCACAGAGGGCGACCAGCCCTGTGCTCCGCGCCTCTGGGCTTCTCTAGAAGTGACGCAGCGCGGCCCGGGGCTGGGGTGGGAGGGGGCTCTGCAGAGAGCGCGGAAGGCAGGTGGCAGAGCGGGAGTGGGTTTGAGCGGACGTCGCACACACACGTACACACTCCGCGCAGTGCTCGGGGACAGATGTCAGAACATCTGGGGTAGGAGATGGCCCCCGAGTCTTTACTACCCCTCCCGCCCCTCAGAGCACACGGAACCTGAAGTTGTGTGTGTGTGTGTGCGCGCGCGCGCGCGCGCGCCGGTGTGTGCGCCAGTGTGCGCGCGCTCACGCGCCGGGGCCTACCAGAGTCCGTGCCTGAATACATAATGTACCGTGGGCATCCTCACCGCGCGCGCACGCGGGCACACACACGCACACACACACATATGTACACACAGCGAATCACACAAACATACATAATTTATGTAGCTTTCAGGTCTGTGGGAGGTAATTTAATTTCGCTTCAAGCTGGGAACTTAGAATTAAGGCAACAGGGAATGGGGAGCCACAGGAAATCTCCCCAAGTGGCACCTGCACCCATCTCTTTGATACGATTTTCAACTGCTTTGAAGACCAGTTATGGCAGAGAAGACGCAGCAAACGTGTGGATTTGGATAACAAGGGCATTCGCGAATCTTTCTCCCCCTCAAATAAACACCCAGGCTTCGAGTGGGGTGCGTGCCAGTGCTGGGGAGTGAGAATCAGAGTCCCGGGCTCCCACAGCGGGCTCCCACTAGCCCGCTGTGATGGGGGAGGGCCCGGGAGGCTGCAAGGGGTTAGTGCTATAGCTGCAGTGGCAGACTTCGAAGTGCCTGCGGGTAAGGGCACTCAGGAAGGCTTTTTCTCCTCTCTTTCTTTTCCCCACTTCCTCCCGGGATGGTTTCCCCACTCTCAATCACCTGTAGCAGCTTTTAAGAGTTTTGTCAGACTGCAGACACTGTTGTCAGAGGGGAGAGAGGCTCACCCGGGAGAGTGGTATGCGGAAGCAAGAACATGCCCCACTGGATTCCCTGGAACCAGCCCTTCTCAGAGAGTGTGCCCCTAGCTCACAAATACTGGCCCCAGACTGTTCTGGGCCTTGCAGTACTTATCTCTGCAGTCTGTTCACGCACCGTTTTTGGCAGTGGTTGAGAACAAATTCCACTCAAAAGTTTCTGACCACTTCACAAGAATGAGAGACCTTTGAGGGCCACATAGTTTGTGTTATCTAATAATAATTTTCAAAAGAACACATGATTTACTTCCCCAGAAAATACAGCAGGAAAGAGAGCTGAATGACCAAACGCCTTGGCTGCCAGAAGCGCCCAGCCCCAAGCCCCTAGCTCAGCCACAAGACAACTTGCTCCATCAGCCTAAGCCCAGTGATCCTGAGACTCATCCACACATTCTGCAAACAATCTACAGCACTGGAAAACCCAAACTAGACTCTTGTAGTTCCCAAGCCCTTCAGTTAACACTGCTCAATGTAGCTAAGGGGAGGGAACGCAAATGATTTATATTTCACTGGCTAGGTTGAAGAAACTCAAGGGAGATGTGTTCTGCTTCAAGACAAGGGGAAAAAATTCCCCAAAACTGTAATGCAAAAGCTTTGTAGTATTTTTAAACCTTTGATTCAGTCCATATGTGACATCTGAACACCGCCAAATTCTGTCTGTGTTTCAAAACACACACACACACACTCACACACTCCTAGCAGGAGAGAAAAGTTGGGTTTTAGCAGCGGTGGTGGTTGTAGGGAGGGCCGGCTGGGATCTCTCTCTAAATTATTCAGTATTGAGAGATCTTCCTTCTTTGCCATTGCGTGTGGCCCCCTGCATTAGCAGTTGCTTTTAAAGGTAAAGGCATATTGAAATGAATAGAAAAAACAAAAAACAACAACTTTCAGGGGCTTACCTGGTTGGCCTCTCACTTCATGTCCTGAAAAGTAGAGAGCTAAGAAAATCCAGGTGAGAGGAAACATATCCATTTTGGAGAAGGAAGCTTTCTCCAGAGCTGTTTTTGTAGATTTCTTGTTTAATTACAAGTCTTTGTGTTTTTCTCTCTCTTATGTTCTTCCTTACAGTGTCCTCTGTAAAGGTTTCTACTGGTCAGTGTTTCCCTCCTGGGTCCTGGCGGCCCGTCTTCACCTTTATCCTTGCTGGATCCCCACCTCACCAGGAGGAGGGTAGCTCTTCAAATCAGCAAAGAGGGAGCAAGCCGGGAAGAGAGGACGGGTTTCCTCTCTTAAAAACAAAACGCATCTATGCCCTCTCCAGTTCCTCAAAGTATCATTTCCTTTATCCTACAACATGACGAGTATTTCCCGTAAGCCAAGCGTTAAAAAAAAAAAAAGGAAAATATAATAAAAATAAAAGCCAAGACTTGCCTTGGGCATCACACGGCCCCCAGGCAGCTGTGTGATCTCAGAGGCGTAAACTGACACACATCCCCCGGCACTCGGGACCGACACGCTGGTGGAGGCACCGACCGCCCGACGGCCCGAGCGGGAGGCGGCCGCCCAGCTCTTGCCCTCACCGGGTTCCTCTAGCGGGAGCCTGCCCCAAAGGCTACACCCGCTTGGCCAGCCTCAAGAGGGGAGCCTGAGGAAGGAAGCTGCTGCGGCGGCGGCTGCTGGTGCGGCGGCGGCGGCGGCGGCTGGGATCGCCTGGGAGCGAGCGAGCCCCTCTCCGAGTTCGCTCGCGCCCGCCCTCACCTCCACCTCGCCTAGCGCCTTGCCGAGTGTCTGCGCGTCTGAGGATGTGCTGGGGGCGGGCTGCGGGCTGCTGCCTCGCTCGCGTTCTCTGCTTCCCCTCCGTCTCCCCCCTGCCTTTTCAGGCCGAGCAGCGGGTGGATGTCAGAGCCGCGGCAGAGCTATCCGATTACGCGCCGGCTCAGGGCCCGCCCCTTCTGTGTTCCTGATTAAAGAGGCAGCCGCGGAGACGCGCGGCGAAGAGCAGAGCGCGGCGGCACCCGGCTCGGGCGGGGCGGCTGCGGTTTCCCCCTCGGTCGCGGCCGGATCAAAGTTAAGGCAGCTGCCAGGCGGCCACCACTCTCCCACCCGGCCACCACTCTCCCACCCTGGGCACCTCCGCGCCTGGCTGCGTCGGGCCGCCCGTGCGTAATGCCCTGGAGAAGGAGAGCCCCCGGGCACCTCCAGGGCGCGCTGCCTTTGGCCGCCTGACCCCGCCCGAGGAAGACTCCGCGGCAAACGGAGGAAATTCTTGTTCTCCCCCGATTCCCCGACTCCCGTGCCACACACGTAGAACCCAACACCATGCCACGCGCAATGGCGTTACAAGAGGACTTGGGTGGCGTACGGTGTTTGGAGTAGGGAGCCAGGCGGCAGCTCAGCCATGCGTTCGCACAGGCAGCAGTGCGTGGCGGCGACACACACGGTCAGCCCTGGCTGAATAAAACCCCAAACACTCCCTGCGTTTACTACTCGGATCCTTTGTTGTGTCCCAAACACACTCCTCTCCTTTCTGCGTGAGGATGTAGTTTTCCCTGCGCTCCTAACTTGTAACTATCAGAAGAGGAAAGACATTCTTCAAAGAAATTTTTCAGGTAATTAAATTGGATTCCCCCAACTCTCCAAAAAAAAGTCCAGGTACATGAATGAAGGTTTCTCGAAATGCTACTGTAACTACTGCTATTCACACTTCCCCATGGAAATGTGGACACAAGGCCGAGAGAAAGAAAAGAGCATTATGCCAACTATTTTTAAATGGAGGCGTGAAGCCTGTTTAGAGGGAGCCTCGAGCTAACAGTTGGGAAAACACTTGTATCTTTGTTTCTAAGGATGGCTTTGTGGATTCAAACTGTCTTGCTTCACTAGGCACCTATTACTACATTATCATAAAGACTCTTAACAGGAACAGTCTAAATAACACTTTGCGTATACCTTTTCTGCCACTCTGCAGATTAAGAAAAATAAAGTTTCGGTGACAAGAAACACACACGCATCTGACTATCCCATTTATTTCTTTGCTTGTGCTTGTGGATTCTTCTGGGTGGTTTTCCTCCTTATCTGGACTTGCCATTAGCTTTGTTTATCACTTTTAGTGTTTGAAAAATCTGTAACTCCCACTTAACTGTTATTTACACTGAGATAACCAAAACAAAATTGAATCAGAAGCCATTTGCAAATAGTTGAGCCAAGCCGTGCAAGGATTTTACAGAGCTGTGTAGATCTACTGGCTGCATATCACACTGTTAATCTTAGATGCCTGGTTTTAAAGGGCATTTAACCGAGGCCTGGTGAGTTTTTCCAGTGAGCATGTTCCCTGGCGGGCCTAAAGACTACCTGTCATTCCTTTCATTTTCTCTCTCTCTCTCTCCTGTCCTTCTTTCTCCCCTTCCTTCCTGGCCTTGAGAGCACATCCGTATTATTAAAAACTCCAAGTTTACTTTTTTTCCTGTTTAAATGTCAGTTGTAAAGAAAGACCACTGCTCCCCAATATTTAATGGAGTAAAGAGGCACTCTGGATTTTGAAACTTAAATGGTGATCTCGGCTTCTATCATTGCCAAGGTACTAACTTAAGGACAAATAACATTATCTACAGTGACACAGGTTTAATAAAGAGAGTCATTTAGGATCACCTCCCCACCACCAGCCAATCTAGCAAGTGCCGAACATGGAAGAATTCTGTTTCTGAGAACATTATAGTCAGAGTTCAGGTGAAGGGGAGACAAAGAAAAAGTAAACTGAAGCCCACTGGGAAACCATAAGAAGGAAACTCTGGACTTCTGCCCTCAGGTTCTCAGGGTTGGAGGTCCCTATCAGGATGCTTCGAGGGTCTTTGGTCTGGTAGGGAGGAGGGTGAGTCTCAGTGGTCCGTTCCTGGACCTGATCCCCAGCATCATGGATTTTAATTTTTCAGAGGAGTCATTAAGAAGGAGCTAACTTACTTCCTGGGAGTCCTCAGGATGACTGTTGCAAGAGTTCTAATCAGTCCACTTGAGTCAAATCCTGATTTCCTGCAGTTGGGTACAGGGTGAGTCTTTGGTTCAGAGCCCTGGGGACTCCCAGCGGCCAGACCATTTTGAATCCTCTAGGGGGCAGCACTCAATAAATAATGGTAACAGTACCTGCAGTAGCACTTCTGGCGGTGCTTTTACTTCCAGGAGCTCACAGCCCTTTACTATCAGACCAGGTAAGATTTAGACTGAGACCAGATCTCCCCCAGCCCACTCTGAACAAGAGCCCATGGACTCAGGGGGACTTAGAATTGCTTTAATTCAGGACTTCCAAGAACTCTGGGGACTAAAGACAAATCCCACCTGTGCCCTATGGAAAACGAATCTTTAGGGAAATTCTCCAGAATGGGACTGGCTCAGACCTGCCAGCCCCAGTTTTTGTCTAGACTGGAATCTCAGGGGTTTGGCTACAATTGGTTTGGTTTCGACCAGAGGTGCAGGGGTGAGGAGCCAGGCACCGTACTTTTCATTATTTTGTGAGTCCATATCTTTCACTTGTGTGAGTCCTATAGAGAAGCCTGCCTACTAAAGACTAGTAGCATTGACAGAAACAATGGGCTAGTTGACAGAAACACTGAACTAACTAGAAAACAGCTAACTAGTGAAGTCAAGATTCCTGGCAGAATCACTGACTCACCTAGGACGTTTTACATCATTATCCTTCATTATGAAATAATAGTAGATAACCCCATCCTACATTCCATTCCTTTGACAAGAAGGGATGTGGGGAACATAAAACAGGTTTTTACAAACAAAAGATGCTAAGAGAAAGCTGTAACCTAGCCACACCCCAGAGAAAAGATGGGCGTTTCCAGCTAGACAGTCCCAACCCAAGGTTACATCAGAATCACCTAGGGAAAGTGGTAAAAATTCAGATCCCTGGGCAGCATCCTCCTGCAGATCAGATTCCTTGGATTTGGGAATCTGTATTTTTAACACATGTTTTAGGTGATTCTGATGTAAATGCTCATCAGTCCAGAATTGAGAACCTCTGTTCTGAGACACTGTGTTTTCACATAACCTTTGATATATGCCCTTCCATTGAAGGACCCCTGGACAAGTATTTCTTCACTTTTCCTCTCCAGGAACTTTTCAGAGAGGGAGCAGATGTTTCAAGTATCTGGGAAAAGCCCCTAAGAACATGTCCCTTAAAATGCCAGAGTGGTGGTGTTTCCAGGTTTACCTTGTAACATTTATTTAGAAGTGACAGCAAAGAGCCTTTTGAAAACACCAAGAACCTCACCTCATGGGTGCGAGAGGTTTGCAAAAACATGTTCAAAGTGCCAACTGGCGGGGTTTATGGAGCTGGATCCAGCCCTTTCACCACCCACCCACTCAACCATTGGTTGTTACTAGAGGTTTGTTTCAGGTGTGGTTTTCCATCTGTGTTTATTGCAGTGTGCTTATTAAATGCTCGTGGAAGCATGACTATGCGGGAGGTATGCAAGCAAGACATTGGGGTCTTGCCTCCTGGGAACACAAGATCTAATATTTCCAGAAGTTTCATGCTTCCACAATAGATACCACCTGTCACATGGTGCTTCCCCTTATCTGAGCCCTGACATTGACAAGCTCTCACCCCGAAAGAGGGAGATAAGAGACATAATTGCATCTTAATCTATAATTCACTACACTGCCCTAGTTAATGTTTAGCTGCATCTGTCTCAGAGGCAAAGCTTCAGTTAAAATGTAATAGGTCTTCATTTTTTATTCTCTTTTGTTTGAAGCTGAAGACCAGGTTTCTGGTCAATAGGGTTTTTTCCTACTCACTCTTTAAACCATCAACACCACCTCATAGTTTCTATTTGATATTATTTTTGGTGGGTTTCCAGAATCCTCGCAGATTTCCATAAAGTACTGAGATCTCTTTCACTCTGAACTGTGTGTGTCTCTCATCTCTTTCTCAGACACAGACACTAGATCAGGTAGAAGGGAGACTTGTGAATGAAAAAAGAAGAAAAAAGCCCCCAAATGAGTGGAACATGCAAAATTCATTCAAACATCCCTGAAATCCTTGGCAGAGAAAACTATAGAAGTCATAATGCTCTGGCTACTCCGTTTGGTTTAAGCATGAGGCAGCTCTTCCTCTGCTACACTCATTTTTATACAATTTGAGGCACCAATGCTTCAAAATGGAGCCTGTCAACCCTTCACTTTATTACTTTTTTTGCGGTACGCAGGCCTCTCACTGCTGTGGCCTCTCCCGTTGCGAAGCACAGGCTCCGGACGCGCAGGCTCAGCGGCCATGGCTCACGGGCCCAGCCGCTCCGCTAGGATCTTCCCGGACCGGGGCACGAACACGTGTCCCCTGCATCGGCAGACGGACTCTCAACCCCTGCACCACCAGGGAAGCCCCAACCCTTCACTTTAAAGTGGCATATTCTCCAGTACAACTTTCTGCAGTGAAGGAGATATCTGTGCTCTTCGCCTGGCTATTAGGCATTTGAAATATGCCTGGTGTGACTGATAACTGAATTTTAAATTGCATTTAATTTTATTAAACAATTTTAATTTCCTAGCCTCTCAAAAAAAAAAAAAAAAAGAGAGAGATTCCACATGAGTTTAAGGGCTATTGAACATATTGGACAGCTTGGGTTTAGATAATCAAAAGACCAGAGCAGGAGATTACCCATAGAAGCCCTAGAAATTCATACCCTTGTTAGTCTCTGAGACTACCTCACTTGTTCACCCAAAAGGGAACCCCAGTATCAGCAGAGGTATCATTTGAAAATGTATGGTGTCTGTTTGGCGTGGAAGAGAAGGGCTGGCTTGTATTATATGCGCACCTTCTCTGCTCTCTTGGACAGTTTTTCCAGAGCACTCACC